ATTTTGAAGCACATGGAAGTCACATGCTTTTTATGTCATGGGAACATTTCCAGCTTTCTTTTGCTAAAGCTATACTAGGAGCGCCAAACTATGATACTGCAGTTGATCTAATGTCTAGAAACTAAAACTGTTAGATGATAATTAATTATCTGCTTCAGTTTCTCAGACAGCAATCTCTTCAATAATAAGCTGCTTACTGTTTCCCTCCTCAAAATGATCGGTATGACCACTTTGGGTACCAAAAGTAATTCCAAACTTTCCCTAAAAAACATCCACCTTGGTAAACTGGTGGGGAGGGGAAACAAACAGCAGCAGAGGACACTTCCAGGATGGAGTTTCTGTTTAGGTTAATTCCACAATCCCTGTGCTCTCAATATGGCTACTTCAAAGTCCTCCCGTTTAAAATCAGAAATTCCTGTTGAAACCAAAGGTGGATCCTGGGATGGGCTGGTGGGATGTGTTCATTTTATGAGAGTGCAGGCAGGGTAAAAGAGATATCTGCAGGCATCTGGTAGAGTTCAGATGGAACACACAGGACTGACATGTTGCATGCACTCACATGCAGAACTATGGCTAATAACGAAATTTTTAAAACCGAAACCAATCAGTTCAGCTTACAAACTGAAATTCAATGGCTTACCTTGTGAGATTGCCTGAATTTTTTTCCTGAGAGGTAGAAAGATGAGAATCATCTTCTTGTTCTACTTGACTCTCACTCTCCAATGGTATCTCTGGCAACTGGAGTCTACTACCCTGTCTCATTCTTTTACAAGATGTTTCTTCAACAGAGTCTGTCAAATTGTGTTTTCTTGTAGCCTCTGAGAAGGATGCAGCTTCCACTATGTTACTAAAGTTTTGCTGAACAGAGGATACAATCACTACCATATTAAGCACCAAACATTTTTAACTGGTTTTTGTGACAAAAAGATTTAAAGAACTAAGTCTGAGGTTCTTGAAAACATGCCCAGCTGTCATCTCTGATAGCTTAGGACATTATTTTGCCCATTTTCTTTAATTTCAAGCTCTGTAGCAGAAGTGTCATTGATGGCATTATCTGTGATGCCCGAGTTCCCAGTGCCACTACTAGTTAATAGACCAAGGCCACACTCAAATTATCAAGAGCAGCAACTCTTCAGGACCTGGGAAGATGAGTAACTTTCTAAAGCTACCTATTTAAGAACAACTTGTTGGAAGGGAAAATTATTTTTTTCTGCCCTGGGAACAAACTAGGAAGAAAAAACTACAATAGTTCACAGAGCAGCATTTAAGTATTATTCAAAACACACACACAGAAACACATCCTAGAGCATAAAACAAACCAGTAGGCACATTTCTGTCAACTATGGATACTTGGCTAAAATAGTATATTAACTGAAATATTTTAGTGATCCATCTACAAAATAAGGAACATCAGATAAACTCGCTTGATGTATCGCAACTTCAGGCAGAGGAGAAACTAGTCTGGGCTAGGTTAGGCCTGTTGAGCGAATTTAAGCAGGAGGTAGTCTGAACTCTGTTCACATGCATTTCAACTTATCCGTATACTTATATGGATCTTAGGTAGTATCAGGTGTTAGACAGCTGCCTTAATTTCCATTGTTCAATGAATAACAGACATTAAGTTAATTGGTAGACAGTATTAGCATGTATTTATGATAATGCAGACTTCTGACCATATAAACTGTAAAACTTAAGATGACAGTGTACATTAAACATTTCCACAGTTTTCAGAGTCTAAGTTCATAATTTCTAATAGTGAATTAAAAAAATGAAAGAATCACATTAACCTTTTCCAGCCATGTACTGGATTTCTGTGCCATTTACAGTTCTAGGAACTTAAACACAAGAATTGAGGTATAAACTGGCTCAAAGCACATGATCAGCACTTACCATTAATACACCTGTTTTCTCTAACACCAAACAGTCTTCTGCATTTCTAGTCTCAGTGTTGTCCTCTTCTCTGTTTTCACCTTCTTCAGGATAACTTCTTTTTCTAGTAATTCTCATTAGGTTCTGCCTTGGGTTCCAGTGGGGTTCCCTCGCTTGATGCAAAAGTTCTGTATCACCCTGTTCATTTTCTTCTCTAGAACTTAATTCATCATTGGACCTACAAAAATATTTTTCAACTTTTACTTCTCAGGAACTACAAAATACACTCTACAAACTTGGCTTACTATCAAATATCTAGTATTTCCAGACACGTGAAAAACAAGATGACTTGGAGTAGTTAGCATGGATTCACAATGGGGAAGTCATGCTTAACCAACTTGGTAACCTTTTACGATGAAATGGATGATTCTACAGATGAAGGGAGAGCAGCAGATAGTGTCTACCTTGGCTACAGTAAGGCTTCTAACACCTTAACATCCTCATAGAGAAGCTGATGAAGTATGGGCTGGATGAGCAGACAAGGAGGCGCACTGAAAACTGACTGAATGGCCAGGCTCAAAGGCTGGTGGGCAGTGGCGCAAAGTCTAGTTGGAAGCCTGTAACTACAAGTGTACCCTATGGGTCAATTCTGTGTCCACTTCGGTTCAACATCTTCATTAATGATCTGGATAATGGGGCTCTTCACCCTCAGCAAGTCTGCAGATGACACAAAACTGAGAGGAGGGGCTGATACACCAAAGGGTCGTGCTGCCAACTAGAGGGACCTGGAGAAGCTGGAGAAATGGGCTGACAGTTACCTCATGAAGTTCAACAATGGGAAAGTACAAAGTCCCGCACCTGGGGAGTAACAACCCCAAGCACCAGTCATGCTGGGGGCCACACAGATGGAAAGCAGCTTTGCAGAAAAGGACCTGGTTGTCCCGATGGACACAAAGATGAACATGAGCCAGCAACGTGCCCTTGCAGCAAAGAAAACTAGCAGTGTCCTGGGCTGCATTAGAAGAAGCATTGCCAGCAGGTTGAGGGAGGTGATTCTTCTCCCTTGTTCAGCATGGGTGATGCCACACCTGGAGTACTGCAGTGGAGAAAGCCCTCAACTGGTCACAAGAGACACATGGACATACTGGAGAAAGCCCAGCAAAGGCCTATCAAAGGTGAAGGGGCTGAAGCATCTCTCCTATGACAAAAGGCTGAAAAGAGCAAGGGAGGACAGTTCAGCCTGCAAAAACAGAGGGTTTGGTGGGAGTATGTGGGGAAATCTCATCAATGTATACCTGAAAGGAAAGTGTAAATATAGATGGAGCCAGGCTCTTTCCAGTGGTGCCCAGTGACAGGACAAGAGGCAATGGGCACAAAACAAAACACAAGAGGTTCCTTCTGAACATCAGAAAATACTTTCTCACTGTGAAGGTGACCAAGCACTGGCACAGGCTGCCCAGAGAGGTGGTGGAGCGTCCATCCTTGTATCCAGTAAGACTGAGCATTAAGACTGAGCAAAATGTAGCTTATAACATAATCCAGAACTGTTACAGGTATGTCGTAGTTTCCACAACACAGCTGTTCATTCATCTTCCCCCTCCCCTCTCCCAGGGATGGGGGAGAGAATTATAGGGGTAAAGGGAAAAGAGACTCGAGGGTTAAGATAGCAAAAATTTAATAACTAAACTACAATAATATTGGAAATAATGACGATAACAATAGTAATATATCTAAATATATAAATAAGGGATACACAGTGATGCTGCTCGCCACCCAGTGACCAAGGCTCAGCCCACTCCTGGTTAATGATCCCAGAGCAAGGAGAGTCCCAAAACTGCCATCCTGGAATCGAGATAACAGCCCGAGTGTCCAAGAGATGGAGACAGCCCTGAGAGAAGGGCAACCCGGAGGTACACAACCCAGAGCAAGAGAGTACTTCCAGAGAAGACCCTCATCTATATGCCGCGCATGACGTGCATTATATGGAATAGACTACTGGCCACTTTGGGTCTCAATCCTAAACCTAAGGATTGAGGAAGTAATTGGAACCTAAGGAATCTGAGGCTAGTAATTGGGGCCATGCTCCCTCCCAGCTCCTCCGGCACAGCAGAGAAGCTGAAAAGTCCTTGACTGTCCTGGTAACAACTATAAACATCAGTACATTATCAGCCTTCTTCCCAGCACAAATCCAAAACACAGCCTCTTACTAGCTACTGTGAAAAAAGTGAACTCATTCTCAGATGAAACAGGACAATGTAAATGGCACTATGTGCCTCATATTGCACATTGATAAAAAACATCCCCTTCACCAAAGAACCACGACACTGCACATAATTTAATGAATTTCTCCTGCTGGAAATAAAAAGTGAACAGAATATATCTAAGATAGCAAGCTCATTTTTTGTTACTCTACCTACCATTTCTCAGTTACAAGTGAGTGCAAATGGCACGGCTCATTCTTCCTTACAATGGTCCACATTCATAGTGCAATGTCCTAAGAATCTATTACTGAGAAATTCAGGCAGCTAAACTCTGATTACTTGCTTCTATTCTACTCTCACCTTCAAAATACCTTCCAAAGAAGAAAACAGCCTTGAGAAAAAAATGTTGTTAAAAACTTTTATATTACCTAATGATGCCACCTAGTGGCAAGTGCTATATGAAAACAACTGGACAAATACACTAAGTTTTTAAACTCTCTTACTTAGTCAACAGGGAATGTTACCTTTCTATGGTATCCTGAATGCTTCCTACAGCATCTGTAGATAGATGTTCTTGTTCTCCCTTGCTGTGGCAGCTATGTGACTTTTTTGAGGAAGAGAGTGTTTCTGACTCCATACTTTTTGGATTTATGTCTAGGTTGTCATTCTGGGCCAAATTCCCCACAAAAAACAATACTTCCATTTCACCCTTAGATTTGAGAAAAAAAAAACCAAACAACCCAACAATATTAGCATAAAATACATCACGTGTAAAATAAAGCATTGCAAGTTATGATCAAGATGTTAACCTGAGACAAAACTTTGCTTACATACTTTCAAGTTAGTTTATGGCACCCATCACTGTTCCTTGTTCCTTTAGAGAAGGCATTTATCTAATAAAAACAGATACTATAAACAACATAGTATTTCATGAGCAACCACCAAGGAGCTCAGAAGAAAACCAGCAACAGAAATATAGCATGCAGGTAACTCATGAACATGACTGAAATTTGAAAGTTTAAGTGAACAGAAGTCTAGATCTTATCAATGTGTCATTAACAGAATTTTAGACCACCTCATATTAGGGTGCAAGTATTAAACAAGAATGTAGTTTTTACTAGTCTAAAATTAATTTAATTAATTAATTTAAACATTTAAAACAGCATATTTAGATATCAGCTGATGTGAAACCAAGCATCAGAAAGTAGTCGGAAATACTGGAACAAATTCTCACTTTTGAGGAAAGAGGTTCCTCAGATTCCTCTGCCACAGGTAGATTCTCTCCTTCATTTGCTTCTTGCTCAACTGGAGCAGCAAGATTTTGTGCCACTGGAGATTCTTTTTCGCTATATACTCTTTCTAGGTTTGGTCTAGTTCTTGGAGATTCATTCCTTATGAATTGTCCTGGTCTCAGAGCACCCAGCTTGCCTTCTTGGGAAGTGGCTTTTTCAGCACTAGTGAATTTAAAGCAAATAAAAACAAACAAAAAAACCCATCCAAAATTATTTCTATCGAATTCAGTTGGAAAGGGAAACAAGTCATTTTGCATTCATTAAGTTTTGAATCAACACTTAAAACAGAGGGTTAGACACTGATACACTGTTGTGTTTAAAATCAATAAAATTATCTTTTCAGATATATATTTCTCATTTTGGGCATTTATGGTTAACACACGGTAAGGTATAACAAGATTTCTTTGTCAAAGCATTTTTAATATCAAGAAAAAAAGTTGTGTTGATAACTATACCACCATCCAAGTATCTGCAGTCTAACACTTGCTTAAGGTCTTAGTTTAACAGGAACAATAAAATAGAAGAGCACACTGGGATCAATGAAAGACACACCTCTGAAATTTTCATCCGTTACATGTATGATGCTGTATATGCAAATACAAACCCAATAAAAGAAAAGCTTCGTCAAAAAGAGCTATGAGCTCACACAGATCAAGTATATACCAGATAACAACAAGTAGTTCAGCTCAACTGAAAATGTGCTCTGAAAACACGGGAAGAGGATGCATGTAGGCACTGAAAATTTCCCATTGGAGAAAGACAGGTAACAAGCAACAAAAGAATTGACACAGGCAAAGGTGCTTCATTATGCACCAAATGAAAGCCTTTTGAATCCAATTTTCCTAAATTCTAAACTCACCTGGTTTGTTCACACAACCTGTTTTCAGAAATACAGGGCACCTGAGGCTCCTCTTGATGTTCCTGTTCTTGTTTGCTCAATACATCTGCTTGACATAATACAGCTTCATTTTCACCCTTTAATTTGCAATTAAAAAAAGCATAAAGAAAAAGAGAATCAAGCAAGTTTTTAAAACAGAACTGTATTTTATAAAAAAAAATATAAACTACAGATCTCTGTGCTATTTTCCCAATCTGAATCAAGAAAAGGATCATGTCATACTTATTGAGAGTAATCTGCCTGAGCACATAATTCAATACACAGGCAAGCAGGAAAAGAAGTCTTCTTAGTACTGGGCTACCTAAAGCTAGGCTCTTAAACACTATATGCACCCAAGCATTATGGGTAAACGCTTTTCTATTTAGCATTCAATCAACTTTCTGTTACATGGAGTACTATGGAAACAAAATACTATGGCAAATGGAAAAACCTTTGAAAACTGCACAGCACAGACACACCCAAACCAGCATAATGTAACCTCAGATTCAGAAGGGTTATTAGTTTTATTTCTGTATTTATCACATTGGTTCTACAAAGAAGACACTCAAACACATCACTCAGCACTCCAGGTCTGCAGCAGCTTTGTCAGTACAGAGGAAAATCAGACCTGCTGTGGTTCTACAGAATTGCATGACACAGAGCAGATGTACGTGCATGGTTCTCAGGCCACAGCTATAGAGTAGCCAAAGCTGAACTGCAAACAACAATCTCAGCTAGGGCTGAGCTGACACCGCAGCACAGAGGGAGACTACAGATACGGTACACATTCTGGGAATGCAGTACACAAGTACTCCAAGCTAGTTCTACACAGGTTCAAGAACAAAACCAGCTATAACCACTCCAAAAAAAAAAAAAAAAGTCACTCTTACAAAGTTTAACTGCGTTTGATGTCTAAGGCAAGTCTACGCAGACATACCTACATCCATGAAATGATTCATGAGCAACCCACAAAATAATTACAGAGTTCATCATACTATAATGGCTTTCGAGTATTTCAATACCTTTTACAGTGCCTAGCAAACTGTCTGTGGGGATACACAGTGTAGATGATTGACTCACTTTACCTGTGTAAAGTAGAGGAGTGTCAGGCACTGTAGTGGTGAAGCCACTCAAAGCTTATCAAATTAATGAGACTCTTTAAAAACAAACAAACAAAAAAAAACAAACCCTAAAAACACAAACACAGAAAAAATGGCTATCCTCTGCCTTCCCTTTATACTCCTCAGACTTGATTCAATCCAAACATGAAAGATAAAATGAGCAAATAGGCTAATTTTTATGAATTGCAACATAAAACACATTTTTATTCTAGAGTTCACCTTAAATGTGCTCAATCTTTTTTTCTATAATACAATACAATAAAAATCAGATCCTCATTTTCCAAAAGACATTAATAGTACAAGTTGCAGACTTCACTGATTTCATACCTGCAATACCTCAACATACCAGGGTTTGGGAATTTTTTCATCTAGTATGGTGTCTCAGCTTCAGGGAATGCAACTTAAATGCTCTAGTTTAACTTCAGAAAATAGAACTCACAACTTGGAACCATACTTTGGAAGGCAAAGCACTTATTCTTATTAAACTTACGATGACAGTATTGGCAGACTCATCTTTTTGCAATACCAACTGCTCTGCTTCAGGCTTCTTCTCCCTCTCCTTTTCTGATATTTGTAATTCCTTCTTTCCAACAGCTCTTCCCAAGTTTGGCTTGTACCTCTGGAATCTGCTCTGCACTAACTGGACAGGTTGAAGAGGTGTTTGTTTACTTTCTTCATCAGCAGTATTTTTGCTATCAATGCTAAGTCAGACAGAAAAAAAATAAATCCGAAACTTAATACAAAAGCATGTCATTGGCAAACACAGATTCACTATATTTACATACAAAAAACAGCTGAGTTTTAAAAACAAACCATGCAAACATAAAGTTCTGATGCATTTAAGTTAGGAACACAAAATTTTGTCTCAGAAAAATTTTCAAAGCACTAGTCTCCTAACTACTTCCACAACAGAATTAACTAACTCGCTGCAGGCACTAAGTTACTGTCTGCTTATTATTATAAAGTCAAAGCAATTTTCACATGATTTCTCTGATAAGCAAACTAGTATTCCTCTGTGTACGTGAAATGAATCTAGTGTTTCAGATGACGAAACAGTTGTAAAATGAATGATCAATAATTTAATGCTTAGCATAGAAGTAAGTGGAATTTCAGTATCACTAGTGTCAAAAGTATGAGAACTGAGATTTTGTTCAGCATTTTTATTAGATTTTCTTTGACAGTTAGCAATCCCTTGACACAAAGATTTCCTTTTAAAATACTTTCATTGTTACAGTCAAGCTACTTTTGTTTCTAAGCCCTTACACTGCATCAGTAGTTGAGGTGTCATCTTGGTTAATTTCAGGTAGATAAAACTTGAGTTCACCATCCTCTGATCTTGAAAATGTCTTTGGTGACTTACAACTTGGCCTCTCAGAAACCTCAGAGCCAAACGACTTCTCCTTTCCTAAGGATTCCAATGGTTCCAGGACCTCATATTTTCCTGCTTTCTGAAAAATGTAAACACAAGAACCAGAAAAAGTCATGATACTAAGCCAAAAGGAGACATGACGATGTCCACGAAGTCTTGTACTAATCACGCTCTGAAGTGTTTCCTGCAAAAACCCCTCTATAACTGCTCATTAATAATTACCTAGTCTTTCCAGGACAAACACACATTTGTTTCTTTTAAATAAAATAGCTTGAAATCTAGATTTCTTCTTTGCATCTTCTATTAATATTTTTCTTTCTTCACTGTCAACTCTACAAGGTGACCTCAGGTCAGAAAGACATACGAATACACAATATGATGTACAGAATGGATGTAATCTTTTTCTCCTCACATACAACCAAGTGGAAAGTACAGGAGTCTTCTTGCAGCAAATTTTAGCTTTTGAAAAAATTGTTTCAAAAAAGATTAACTTTGTATTTTTTAAATAATCAGTATTTCATGTCACAAACCCAAAAGCTCAAATATAACTAAAGAAAAAAAAAAAGAAAGCCTTACAGCTGTATCAGGAAGGATGCTACATTCACTGTCATGCTGTGTCAAACCTCCTTCCTTGTTGGTCCCTTTCTGTGATACACCTTTATTGTTTATATCCAGCACTTCCTTTCTACTAGTCGTGTTTCTTAAATTTGGCTTTGGTCTCTGGAATCGACCCCTCAGTAGCCGAGCTGATGATACAGCAGTTTTCTCCTTTTCCTTCCGAGGACCAGACTCCCTACAAAAACAACAAAGAACAATCAAAGGCATGGGACAACAGTGGTTCTTCAAGTCATGTATGACATCACTGTATTTAGCTCTCTTCAATACAGTAGCCAAGTATAAAATTCCTTAGCTTTCTTAGTGACGTTGTGAAAAAAGATTCAGTAAAAGCACATTAAATACCACCAAAAGCCTGTGTATCTTACAAATAGCTAAATAAAGATAAGTTAAAGATGCAATTTATGCAACTTCCAGTCACACTTTGAAAGGAATATAAACATTTTACAAACGCTTTTCTTTGTCTAATCATGTTTAAAACTACCCAGTAGCTTTACAGCACCGTTGGTTTTTCTGTTTTTTCCAGAGGACACTTTAGTAAGAAACCAAAACCTATACTCAAGGATTGACATAAGCACAGAGGGATGCACTGTTAGGACCAACACAGAGAAGATAACCACATGAACTGAGCATCAGAAAACTATTTATCTGAAAACTGGGCTCACAATCCAAAGACCAGCATCCAGCAGCATCTATATTTAGGGCTTTCAAGCTCTTCAGGTTTTGTTTGTTTAAGTCTAGTACTGTCTTAATTAAACATCTCATTATAGATATAAAACTTAGTTTTAATGCTGGAGTTGAACAAAAAAGGGAAGAATATCTAGAGATATTGATGGTTTTGAACTATCCCTTCTCTTCACTTAATAAATAACCTTACCCTGTATTGAAATCCGAAACCTGTTTCAAGATATCTGACAATCCTTTTTCGCTTTCATATCTTTCTGCTTCTGAGGACTTTTCTTGGGAACATTGCCTTCTATGTACTGAGTTTGTCTCAGAATCTGTAGAAACATTCCCTTCTACTATCACACTGGATGGCTGAGTGTCTTCATGAACCATCACATCCTAAAAGGAATAAAGGTTTCACTCTATTAAGATGAAATATTTGCTTGACCTCTCTTTCAGAAGAGCATGGGGAAAAGCAAAAGTTTATTTTAGTATCTCTTACAGAAACATTAAAAAAATCTCCCTCTTGCTTCCTGTGCCTCCAACTAGTATCAGTAGATACTTTAAGAGTAATAATTTGTTATTCTTCTATATACTTTCTATCTGAACTAGTCTCTTTTCCAAGAGACCTTTTTTCTCTGCACTTCTGTTTTCAGATCTGGTATCACAAATCACACAACAAAGTGAGATATAATCCATCTACCCATGGCAAACAGAACCCAAGTGCAAGCGTGAGGCAATTTTATGACAATTCAGTTTATTCTGAAGAATAAACAAAGCAAGCAAAGGCTATGCTTACAAATTCTGTGGTATGATCCTAGATCTTTAGGACCCAGTAGAAGTGTGCCTAAGTAACTGCTCAAGAAACTTACATTTTTCAGACATGGGTCGTTGTTTTCATCCCTGTGGTGTATCACACCTTCTTCTACTTCTCCACCTTCAGTTTTCTTCTCTTCAGGATCTTTTTTATCTGTCAGGTCTTTTTGCCTTGCAACAGTTCTTCCTAGGTTTGGTTTTGGTCTTTGCACTCTGCCTCTCTTTAGAGGTGTTGGTTTCAGCACACTCAGTATGCTGTCTACTTGTAAACCAGCTGTTTCATCAGCTCTGGAAAAAACATGTAAGATCTGTAAGTACATATCACATCTGAAAGTGGGAGGAAACTTGGAGAAGTGATATCTTTTCTTTTTTTTTTTTTTAAACAGTTATTTACAGACACTTATCTAAAATGGAACTATGCTTTAGCACCTTCATGAAACAATACAGTTATAAGTGTTATCTGCTAGAGACTGAAAAAGTACCTGACAAGTTTAAACTTATGTTTGCCCTGTTCTTTTTCTTTTCCCACTGGAGACAGGACACCACACTAGACAGACCTTTTTCTGACCCATAATGGCTCTTGTATTCCTATCTAGTCGAGAAGCAGATGGACCTAATTTAATAAAGAGTTAAAAAAATCACAAACATTCAGAAAATACATAAATAACTTCACAATCTTACTAATGTAAAAATATCAGATGCACATTACTACAACTCTCAGATGCCTCCCTGAGCATCAAATTACACAGCATGTTAATGAAAGAAATAACCGCTAAAGTATTTTTATGCCAACTATCAAACCCAGTTTACCTCCCTTCATCCTCTTCAGCTATCCCCCTTTAAAAACAAAAGTTTGGAGGTTTTTTTGTTGCTGTTGTTGCTTTGTTGTTTGGGATTTTTTTTTGGGGGAATGGCCTTTTTGGTTGTTTTGTTTTTTCCTTTTTTATTTTTTTTTTTAACAATCTCTCCTGTAAAACATATTCCTCCTTTTACACTACAGCTGTCATTTCTCCACTGAAGAGAAATATATGACATGCTTCCTAATTAACATTAGCTAATTAATACATGGTCATTAACGTTCCCACATGTTGGAACTTTTTCTCCTAATACCAGACACCTAACACTTAACTACACTTTAAGAACAAACACTTATTTCCTATTGTTCAAATACTTGACCACCAAAACTGGTGCATTTCAGTATTAAAGCTAGTGGAGAAGGCTTGTTTTAGTCTTCAAGAGACTAACTTTTCAAGTTTTTTGGCATTTATCATGACTGACATTCCATTTAAAAGTACTGTTTTAAAAATGTTTAACGTATTTGTTTCATGCATTAAAAAAGATTCCTATTCTTCCCTCAAATTCTATCTCATTGTTTCTTCAGAAACTTCTACAATTACCACATTATGTGATACTACCAGAAGTGAGAAGGATGTCATATTGCTGAAGAGCAATATGTCTTCTCACTTTTCACATACTTACTGAGACACTCTCTCCAGGATTTTTTCATCTTTTTCTGCAGCTTCTTCACTGGTAGCATCAGACCTATTACTTTGGTCAGTACTCTGAATAGAAATAGAACATTAAAACATTAACTCTCTTACATTATAATGTGTAGCATTACCTAACACACCAGGTAACTGTCCGTAACAGGATATAAAATGGATTGCTTATGACAACACACAGACAATTACAGGGCACATTTCACATAGTCAGAAAGGTGCAGTAAAATCTACATCAAAGAATTAAAGCGGAATTCACTGCAGGACATGAAAGATTACTGGCATCTACCATTTCTGTGACAAGCTCCCAGCTTAGCTGAGGCCTGTAAGCAATATCACACTGTCACTGCAGGTTAAGTAAGTGGTTGATTCCTGGTCATAATGAGGTGAAAAGAAAGAAAAGAAAAAAAAGAAGATAACGTTGTTGCATCCAGCAGCTTTTTAGCTAACACATTATCTCCAATTATTTTACTCTATTAAATACCTTTTCAGATTCCCCCTTAGGCTGTGGATGGGACATTTTGTCATTTCCTGCATCTTTTTCAGGCTCTTCCTTCCTTCCAGACGCTCTTGAAACATTAGGCTTAAATCTCTGTCGACATCCTCTAACTATTGAGTTTGTAATTACATTTTTTTCAGGTTCTCTGCACAAAGGATCCACAACAGTGACATTTACTCCATAATATTCAAGCCTATGTAATACTCAATGACTTGCACAGGTTTCTCTACTGGAACTGGGTTGTCTTTGGAATGATTTGCACAAATTTACGCAAGTTTCTTCATATTAGAACCAAACTTAGAGTGAGTCTTACAGACTAAACTAAAACTGAATTTATCTACCTATTAAAAAGGTATGAAGTTATCACACAGGGGAGGAACCTAGCTAGACTGCATACCATAGCTGCTTCTGCAAGTGTCAGAAGCAGAGCCATTAGCTGGCAACTGAAGGTCGGAGGAAGGCAAAGTCGTGGTTCTCACCTTTCCCTCTTCCCCCTCCCTAATTCCAAACATAGTTGGTACTTCATAAAGTAATGTTTTCCTCACCTTCTCAGAAAAGAAGCACATACCTTCTACCATAATACCTCTTGATCTCATCCACGAAAATGCCAAAGTAAAATTTAAGATTTATATTAAAACTTCACAATTACTGTTGTCTTTTTATAACAGCACTATACAGAATTAACAATTATAGTCAGTTAATTCCAGGAGACTGGAAAATCAATACTTACTCAGATTTAGTATCCAAATCCATGTTTTCTACTTCTGTGGCTTCATTTCTGTTTCTTCTACTGTCTTCCTCAGAGCACTGCAATTGAGGCAAGGAGTATTACTCTTGGACAAGTGTAGAGATACCTCAGAAGCAGTTCTTAGAATACTACTTGTTAGAGTGTAGCTGGTTCACGGTATCAGCAGACACAACATCAAGACCACAGCATATCAAGCAACATTCCTCCTTCTGACCTTTTCATCTGCATTCACAAGGTTTGAAGATGAAGTCTCAGCTTCCATTTTCTCTTGGGTTGCTGCTTCTCTCCTTCCAGATGACCTCACTAAATTGGGTTTAGGTCTTTGCAAGTGCCCTCTGTCTGATGGCTTTTCAGTTTTCCTTGAGATATAGAAAGAGGTGGTATATATTATCACCAAAGAGAAAGACTTATATCATGTACTTCAAGAGCACCACAGACTGCACGGGTAATGCAGCAAGACAATAAACTGAACAAAAATTAGATTACATCTTTCTGATATTAGAAGATATGCTACTACTTAATGCAAAGAATGTCAAATAAACCTTAACAACTCTGCTGGCTTTCAGGGGAATCGACTTAAAAATATCTGAAGGAAGCACTTTTTGCTGTTAAATTAATAGGAATACCTCTTCCGCTAGAGATTCACAATTTATGTCAGTGTGAACAGGCTGACTGATTTCAATAAACAGAAATCTGCTCCAAAGTGAAGCAGATTTGCTTCATATACAAAATTTTGCATCTGCCTCTCCTGTCCCTCCATCCCCTTCCAAAGCTATCTCACTCACAGAACTTTTTTCAAACACCTTGTCCTACTGCCAACATCCATACATTATTGAAGAATGGAGTATATACATCAATCTCTGTGTCGTTAACCACTGCAATAGAGTGTCCCAGGATTCACACACAGTTTGACAGAGCCCTACAGCTTATCAGTAATCTTCAGATCGGGAACTACTACCTTTTCTTATGTTCTTCCTAAGACAGGACAAACAAAGCTTTGACAGTGTTACCATAACAGTGAGGTGCCCTTCAATAAACAAAAGACAGAAGCATGAAAAACAATTTAGCATTAACTATTAGCCCATCCCTAAATCACCTTTAAAGAACTGTATCACGGAATAGGAAGTCGATGATCACACAAAAATGGAAACATTAGGCACAGACTTCTTTAAACACCACTGCTCCATTACAGCAATAAATGTAAGAAATATTCACAAAGATTAACGTCATAAAGGAGCGCAGGTAAGAGAGACAGCTTGGAGTATCTTCTGGAGAGGTGTGTCTCAACTTGGACTCTTGTACTGAGTTCCAAAGAGCAACGGTTTCCAATCAGGAAGGCATGAATACACTATACACATGATGCATACAGCTAATAAGCGCTGATGGAAAACCGCAAGTTTCAAAGAATCCAGTGAGGCCCTTTTATAAAAAAACCCCAATTTTCACAACCAAGGTTCATCCACAAAATGGCAGAAATTCAGAAAAATCTCTTGTTCTTACTGGAATCCAGTAAGGCCCTTTTATAAAAAAACCCCACCCAATTTTCACAACCAAGGTTCATCCACAAAATGGCAGAAATTCAGAAAAATCTCTTGTTCTTACTGACTGTAGAGGGGCTAGCTTTTTTGGAAGCCTAGTTAAGTCCTTCTCATTGTTCCCATCTAGCATTTTAAATCTTAGTCAAAGCACTGCTCCTCAGCAATCAAAATTCCTATCAAAAAACTTCACTGAATATGGGAAAATGTTATTATGATCTACTGATTAGTCCAACCTACTATGGCCAATCAGAATTATATTCAAATTAACTAAACGCAGGTTTAGCTCAAGTACCACTGCAAGGTAAAATAATTCTACTTACATGACTTCACAGTGAGAATCACTTTTTGATGCACTCTGGTTTTCTTCTGGTCTATGTAAATCATGTATGTCTTTTTTCTGAGTAAGGAAAAAAAGAATGTTGTAGAAAAGAAACAATTGATGTAGAACCACCCTTTGCTGTAATGTAAAGAAAACCAGAAAGAAGAACAAGATTCACAGAATGGCTGATGTTGGAAGGGACCTCTGGAGATCATCTGGTCCAAGCCCTGGCTCAAGCAGGGCCACCTTAGAGCTGGTTGCCCAATGCCATATCCAGGCAGCTGTTGAGTATCTGCAAGGATGGACACTACACCACCTCTCTGGGCAACCTATGCCAGTGCTTGGTCACCTTCACAGTGAGAAAGTATTTTCTGATGTTCAGAAGGAACATCTTTTGTTTCATTTTGTGCCCACTGCCTCTTGTCCTGTCACTGGGGACCACTGGAAAGAGCCTGGCTCTGTCCTCTTTGTACCCTCCCTTTAGGTTTTTAGATAGATATTGAAGACATCCCCCTGAGCCTTCTCTTTCTCCTAGAGAGCACTGTAGGTTTTTAGATAGATATTGAGCCTTCTCTTTCTCCTAGAGAGCACTGACCAGCACTCTGAAAATAAAAAAACAATCAGACAACATAGCAAACTAACCACAATTACAGCAAACATCTTACGGAATATATTTAATAAATTAAGGTAAAAGCCTACTGCAGAAAAACATTTGTCTACTTTATTTGCCTCTTTAATAATACAAATAGAACCATATTTCAGATCGCTGGCTGGCTGCGTATTTTTAGTTTTAGGTGACTCATTATGGTCATATACTTCTAAAGTAAATTAACCACAGCAGGCCAAAAGAATTAGAACTGACATTAAAAGTCTTCTGAAATTATCAGGTTTAGATATTATTATGCCTTTTTCTCATGTCAAACAGCCATAATTACTCAGCCAAACAGCTTAGGTACCCAGTCTACTGACATCCCTATAATCGGTCAGTGCATAGAATACATTGCCCTGTTCAGTTCATTGATTTTTATAAAAATTATAACATTTTCAACCACAGGCATTCAGTATTGGTGAAGATCCAAAGTAGCTGATTTTCCATTAAGATAAAGACATTATTTTTGGTAACAGGATCTAAATTAAAAGCCAAAGGACAAATAATTTGCCCGTTACATTAGGGAAATGCTAACACTTAGAATTTCCTAATCTCTACCACAAACTTTAGTCAGAAGATCACTCTTGATCTTAGAAAGCATAAGAGAAAGGATTTAATTCCCCCTCAGCACTAGTCTTTAAACAGTGTGATATTAAGTTCCAAAAATGACAATTACGCAAGGATATAAGAATGATCAGACAAGTGGAACTTTCTCTACACGAGGAGGAATGTAAGATTAGGACTCCTCAGCTTTAAAACAACATTGTTGGAGAGAGGAAAAAGGGGCATTATAAACAAGAAGACGAACAGGAACTTAACAATGGAAGTACAGTGCACATTAAACTAGCAGGCATCAGGCTTAAAACAATCCAAAAAATACACTTTTTAAATTAAGTGAATAATTAAAGAAATTAACTCTCAGGCAGAGTATGCAATTTATGACAAAAGCACATATAAATGCAAAAAAGTAGCTAGACAAACTTAGGAGTAAGAGGTGCATCAAGGGTTTCAAAAGAATCTAGACCTAATCTCAGGAAGTTTCTAAACTACTGGACCTGGTTAGAACATATCCAAAGAAAGATCATTCAATCTTGGTCCAGCTTCTCATATCTTTCCTGAATCACGTTATGGCAGCCAGTACCAGTGGACAAGAGTTCACACAAGTTTTCATTCTGAGGCAGCACAAACAACACAATGTTCATCCTGCTCAAATCAGTTTCCAACATCGTGTTAATAACTGTACAGTAGCAAAACCTTGCTCCACGGTTTTACTGTTGATATTTTCCTACCTCATTTTTGAATTATTAAAGTGTTCATCTGTTTAAACTGTCTATGAGACAAGCCAAGCATGCACACTATACTATCTGAATAAACTCAGTGTAACAGCCTACTCATTAAAGCCAGCCAATATTTAAGTTGTGGTGATCTTCTCAGGCTTGTTGCCTTTTTTCCATCTAGTGGTAAAGACACCACTAAAACAACCAAAAAATGCTTTAGATTTACAAAAACACTTTTAATGGTAGAAAGATTTTAAGAAGCAAGAATTACATGAAAAATAAAAATACCTTTGTTTCTCTAGTTTCTTCAGATTGTCTTTCTTTGCTTCTAATCTTTGAAACCAGTAACTCTGAAATCTGGCTTTCCTGTGATGCACCATCTGTAACATCTAGGGCTCTCAGTTTAGTAGATTCCATTTCTAGCATATCATAGCTATTTTCAAAGCTGAAAGCAATAAAAGCATACAAAAACATTATATTAGTGTATTTTAATTAAAAAGCTGTTATTATTTACAGATAGATCAGGTTGCAGAGAAAAATTTTGCAATATTGACATTAAATAACTACCTGGGTGCCAGAGAATGACAAATTTTAGTGATATTTGCAGGATATGAGATTTAAAACAACATTTGTACTTTTGTAATGCTATTACAAGAAGTTAGAATTCCATATGAATACTACAGACTAAACAGTTTTTTAAGACAAGACTTTACTAATATGAACACTGTATGCAGAAGCTTTTTTCCCCTGATCTTCTGTAAAAACTTATGTTCAGTTCAAAGACAAATACTATTCCTTCATATGCTTCCAATAAGGTATTAAAGCACATAAAAGTTTCTGGGAATCTGTACGAAATATCAAACAATTGCAATAGAGCTAAATACAACAATTATCACACAAAATTCTGAAGTAGCACTAACGGCTTCATAATTACTTCTTAGATTTACCACTTTCTTACATAACAAGTTGTTGTGGTTTTGTGTGGTGGGTTTGTCTGGTAGCAGGGAGGGGCCACAGTACTGGCTCCTGTAAGCACCTGCTAAGGGCTTCCCTGGACTCCAGCTCTGCTGGCAGCAAGAGAGGGGCTGCAGTGGCAGCCCCTCCAAGTAACTGCTAAGGGTTTCCCTAGCTGCAAGTCTGCTCTGGTGGCAAGGGAGGGGTTACAGTGGTGGCTCCTGTAAGCGACTGTTAAGGGTTCACCCCCACCCCCTGGCTCCAAGGGTTTAGTAACCAGGAGGGGGAGTGGGGAAAGGAGTACCACCGATCCAGCCCCTGTGAGAAACAACTGGAAGTTTCCCCAGCTTCAGGCTGGACCCACCCCAGGCCAGGGCTGAGCCAATCAGCGCCTCTGCGAATAACATATAACATATTTAAGAGGGGGCACGAAACATGGGTGTTGGCGCGGCCCCGGGCACGGCCCGGCTCAGGCGGGCTGGTCAGGCTGTCCAGACACCCGCTCAGCTTCTGTGAACCGACCTGCCATA